TATGATCTTTCTGATGTACTGCTGGATCCGATTTGCTAGAATTTTGTTGAGGATTTTGGCATCTATGTTCATGAGGGATATTGGCATGTAAATCTCTTTCATTGTGTTGTCTTTATCTGTCTTTGGACTTATTTTAAAACTTGAGGCCTGGTGCACGAAATTTCTGCAAGGGTAGGGTCCCTAGGCCTGGCTGACGATCAGGGCCGATCTGTGTGGCAACCGGTGGGGCGATCAAGGGGCCCCTGCAGGCACCTGCCTTGGCTGGCCTGATGCCTGCAGGCTGGGCGCAGCTCCTGTGTTGACTTCCCTCTAGTGGTCAGTGCGCATCATAGCGACCGGTTGTTCGCTGTTCAGTCAATTTGCATTTTAGGCTTTTATTATACAGGATGGCTACTTTTCACTTCTCCCTATAGGAAGCAGAAAGGATTTTTCTCCAATCTTCCCTGTGACAACCAGGCTCAAGTACATAAAACACATGAAAGGTTGGAGCTCCCCTAGGACTGGCCCTCCTGGACTTTTTAACTTTCAAACATATCTACACTGATCCTCCAACAATTCATTAATTATAGATTAGGTTTTTCCTACCCTGGTACTGGTTACCCATGAAGTTTTCTGCTCCTGGATTTCTGCTCTGGTAACTTGTGATTCTCTATATCTGTCTGTTTGACTCTCCAGTTTTGGGAACAATTGTTTGCCCTATGACCTCAGTTATCTGATGAATCTAAAAGGAGTTGTTGATTTTCAGTGTGTTCAGCTTTTTCATGTGTTGAATAGGAGAGATGACTTCCAAGTTCCTTACATGCTGGGTTAGAAACCAGGAAGTCCCTTCATTGTTTTTTGTTGTTTTACTGAATATAATTAAGTAGCTCAAGTATGACAACTCCTTTAGCTTATGTAACTCTTAAATTACTAGAAAGTTCACCCCAATCAATTTAATAACTTAAAAAAATTAAAAATATCTAGCTAATAAAATATAAATGGATAAATACATAAATTACTAGAAAGTTACATAAAACACACACACTATGTTTTTAGCTGCTTGCACAAAAACTTTTATAGAAGTGCAGTCTAATATAACATAGTTAATTGATAATTGTGTAAGCATTTTCATATAACTTCTTTTGGTAAGACTATGCTTTAGCCTTTTCACTGTCAGTTATAAAATAAGTCATATAATAAATCCCCCTCCTAATATTGTATTAAATAATATGACTCTGCTAATAACCTATATATTGCTTTAATTAGATGATGATTGCTCTTTAACATTACATTTCCCTGTTTCCTTACCTTCTTGGAAGTTCAAAAATAAGTTTAGGTTCTCAATTACAGTTAGTTCTCCTACCCCATCCTCTTTCTCCACTCACCATTTATTTTAGTTGTGATTTCATTACTTATCTGTTTTTTTATTAAAACTTTCATGTCCATTTAAAAGTAGGTTATATAAATAATATATTAACTTTGCTCAAGTATTGCCTGATAAAGTTTTAAGTTTTATGCTGCTGCTCCGCCTTTTTTCCTGCTTCATACTCACTATCATTCTCTCCTTTACTCTATAGACTTCTCTTGACCATGATGTGAATTATTAATTTCATGGCTTATTCATAATAAATTATTTGTTCCAGACATACTTTCTCTTGTCACCCTTTTTACTTTATGGTTCCTCTGAGTTCTTTTGCTATTTTAATATTAACCCAAGCCAGACCATTAAGAATGTACTCTATCTAGAAAAGTTAATTGAAAAAGTCTCATAAAGCTAAATTATAAAATGAACTGTAATTGTATATACCTATGCTTTTATTATTTAAAGTAGATCATTGAGGGCATATATTCTTAGAAAAATATTTTGAATTATACTAAATTTTACAAATCTTTGAAGACTTAATTTATCAATATTCCTCTATTGGGAGTACACCTTTATCTAATTTATTACTTTAATGATTTTGTAATATAATATGAAATTTATCAAACTAATTACCAGAATATGATAGTTTTGGTTAACTAATTTCCCACTGTATTATGCTTTTTTATTCAAAAGTTAACATGATTGAATTTATAGTTCAGTTTCAATCTTATTCATAAACATTTAATAATTTGGTTTGGGAGACAGTATGAATACATAGAGGAAAAATTAGCAAGACTAGATAGTATATTAAGTGTCACATAAATAATGTAGGCAATACAGAAATTTAGAAATGGCTAAATTTCTGTGATAGTTAGGAAAGACTCATGGAGGAGATAGAAATTGAATTAGATGATGGATAAGACTTAGATAAGAATAGAAAAATGGGCTATGAATTGTGGATAGGCCCTATTTATGGATCTGTTTTTATGCTGCTTGACTTATGCCAGACTCATTTTGGTATAAATAGGAAATGTAAATGAAAACCATGTTGAGGTGTCATTTATATCTATTGGATTTATAAAAATTAACAACCTTGAGTCAAGTGTTGTTGCAAATGTGGAGCTGTTGAGAATTCTTGAAGTGCATCTAGCCTATGACCTAGCACTTTCACCTGTGAACATATATAATCTAGAGCAATGTTTTTCAACCTTTTGTTAATATGATCCCCACATAGAAAAAAATTATTTTAATTCATGAGTCAGTATACACTCATAAAATAAATGTTTTATATAATAATAGATATCCTTCTATGTCTATTAAAAGTAAAAATGTAACAAAGTTGATATTAAATATGACTTTTATAATATTTGCACAAAATAGAAATTCCAAATTAAACACTGCAAAAAAATAGGAATATTTCATTTAATATATAAAGTGTGTCTGCTTCTTTCATACGTATATTCTTATGAGCATAGTTTTTTTTTTGTAAGAATTTGAGCATATCACTTTGATATTTTTTATTGTATTCTATTACACTTAAAAAATGCTGATTATGATGACCCATTACTAGATTACAATTGATTTAATTACCCATTACTAGATTACAATCTGTAATGTAAATTGAGCAAAAATAGCATGCCACAGAATATGTGTAGTATGGTTTAATTTATATAAAGTTCAAAAATAAGCTAAACTGTATAATACATTAAATAGGGATACGTAAGGTGTCCCAAAGAAATGTATACATACACATTGAATAATTATAAAGGCAGTGGTTATTAAAATAAATTTCATTTTAAAAATTGAGCTATCAGATGTTAAAGTGTGTATACATTTTTGGGACACTGTGTATATGTCTTCAAACTATAAGGAAAAGCAAGAGAAGAGTGAGAACCAAAGTTTCAGGACAATGCTTACCCCTGTAAGAGGATCAGGGGACATACTAGTACATGAGCCTTCAAAGATAATGATAAAGTTGTCTTTTTCAATTGGTTGTTATGGATACAGGGCTGCTCTTTTTATTGTTTCTTAATATCTTACACACTTATCATGGATTATTTTTCTATATTCAGTTATGTATCACATAATAACCTTTAGGTCAGTGGAGGACCACATATACTACAGTGGTCCCATATGATTGTAATGGAGCTGAAAAATTCCTATTGCCTAGAAATTTTATCATAGACATCATAATGTGGTAGCACAGTGCATTGTGTGTTTCTGGTCATTCTCATGTAAACAAACCTACTGTACTGAGATTCATATAACGGTATATAGCACATACAATTACAGTGGTAGGCCATTCCATATAATTTTGTGTAAGTGCATTCTATGATATTTACGCAAAAATAAAATCGCCTAATGGTGCATTTTTAGAACATATTTCTATTATTAAGCTGTCCATTAATGTATTTAGTGTTTAAAATACTTTTAAGTAGAAGTAAAATAAAATCAATTTACATTATAGTTTAAAGAAATTAGAATATAGGAAATACCCTCGATTTATTCCTTAGACTCACATTTTTCATCCTACCCCTGATTCATACTTTAAGTTCATCCCCAAGTCCTTTAGAGAGTGTTTATTATCAGTAAATATGGAAGTGCAAAATAAATTGAGATTTAGGGATCATATGACTGTCAGTGATAGATCAGTGATGGAATAAAGGTTAGAGGTTTCTACTGAATATATTACTTAATAAGAAAACAATGTGCTGATATCTTGGTTGAAAAGCAGATGGGGCTTGAAGGAAGGATGATGTTAAGAATGACTTGGAGGCTTTAAAAAAATGTGTATAGCCAGCTAATAGGATTTAATAACTATTAGTTGAAAAAATGGATGGATTGACAAAAGTTGAAGAAGTTTAAGAAAGAGATAGTATCAGAATATGGATTTCAGTTGTATCATGTTAGTTTGAGGTGATAGCAGATAATCCAAGTAGAGGTATTGTATAGAAAGTTGAAAATGTGGGTTGGTGATTAGGAGAGAGTCAGGGCTGGATTATAAATTATGTAGTCCTTTCAAACATCGATGAGACCATAAGCTATGAGGGTGGGTACATTTTCTGAGAGAAAAGCTATAAGGAGAGAAGCGGGAAACTAAGAATTGAGTCACGGATACATCCTTCAATTCAGTATCATTTTGATATCTCTGGCAGGTAAGAAGAATATTCAAATATTTTTAAATATTCTGAATATTCTTTCTATGGAGCAAGATATTTTTGGTACCAAATCAAACATGCCATTTTTATTCTTTTAAATTATTTACACCTTCAAAAAAACTGTAATTGTTTCATTTAAAAATATTTTCTTTCAAATGATACTCAAAAGTATAATACTTATTTTAGTTAATATGCATTTTCCTTAATTAGAATATTTTGTTTTTCTCTTATTACACACCTAAATCTTAAAAGTTTGCTTTCTGATTGTGGCTTAATATTTGGTATCTAGTTTTTATGTGGTCTATGTTTTAAACTAATAAATAGATACTGTACTTGGAGTTTACTTAAAAACCTGTGGGCATATCACAGGAAGAAAATGAGCATTGTTATTATGAAAGCTAGTTAATCCTTACATTTTAATTAAGATCTGAATCGTTTTAGATGACATAAATTTTTCTTAGAAAAATGAGTTCACCAATAACTGATTTCTTTTTTTAAAGAGAGAATCAGCACTAAAACAGGACATAAATGACCTTGTAAAGCGGAAGATTGCAGTAGATGAAGAAAATGCTTTCTTAAGGAAAGAATTCAGTGACTTGCAGAAGAAATTTAAAGATAAAAGGCAAGAAGTTAAGGTGTGTTGACTTGTACATAGTTTTACAGTACTATTACTTTGAAGTTCTACTTTAAGCTTTGTCAGCTTTTGTGGCACAGAAAGTGACAACCTTGGAGGAAAAATTGCCTGAGGCTCTGATGTACCACAGTTTTCTCACATTCAAAAACTCTGAGAAAGATGCTTTAAAGCTAAGGCTCCAAGCTTGATAACTTTCAGATAAATAGTTAATGATGGAAATGGAGCTAAGAAAGTAGGAGTGTGAATATGTGGCTTCTTGTAATTAGATTCTGATGGGACTGGCATTATTAATTGATAAAACCCTGGGAGTATATGTCTGTATGAGTCTCAAAAATAGCTGGGGACAGCATCAAAGGCAGCTTGATCAATTAATGGTCTCTTTGCAAATGTGTACTCATCAAAGCTGTCATCCAGTGAAAAAATATGATCTATCCACCTGCATGAAAAGAGGCCAATAAAAGTATACAGGTGACCTTGGCTATCAAATATAGAAGAAGCTGCTGTGAGGGTAAAACTGCACAGTTTATATTTGCTGATTAGTGCTCACCATTTTTTTGTTTGTTTTTTTATCGGCCCTATGGCACTGTTCTGTAGGACAGTAAAGAGTGTATACAGAATAAGGAAGAACAAAACAGACTGGTTATAAAAGACCTGGAAGAGGAAAATGAGAAATTAAGTACCCGCTGTGTTGACCTGCTAAATGACCTGGAGAGACTGAGGAAGCAGGAAGCTCATTGGAAAAAAGAAAAATATAGCATTGATGCAAAAATAAAGGTATGCAATCAGAATGGAATTAACCCTGTGATTTTGGACCTAACTTCTCACGGGAAGTTTATTATATGTTATTTTCTTTAAATAAGTTATATAGTCAAATCCAGCAATGGGACTAGTATTAATTTATATTCCTTCACTTAAGACCCACAGCTTTTTAAAAATTGATGTTGCAAAGCAGGAAACTGACTTCAAATATTTATCTATAATATAATCACTAAAAATAAATGATACTGCATTTTGAAAGAAAACATGTTTTAGAAATATTAGTATCATGAATTTTTACTCTTTTCAGTTAGGGCTTAAATTTATAGAGAAAGGCTAGAATTCATTGGAATATAGCTTTAAAACTATTTTCAAGGCCTTTAAAAAAAGTTAAAAAAGCACAAGACAGTTAAAAAAAATACTCATATGAGTTTTGAAGATGGTGTTTTCTTTGGCTTAAGAGGGCCTATTCATAGTAAAATCTTATTTTATAGAATATATAGGTGCAATCAGTCTTTATAATATTCTTATACTCTTTTGATCAGTATTTTTCAAAATAATATGTTTTTGTGACTTTCTTGGTCTTGGGAATGTTATGTTCAGTTTTCCCCATCAAATGTTAGGTTTTTCTTTTCCACAGATTTTGTTGAAAAGGCCAGAAATGTATTTTAGTGCTAGCAAATATGATAGTCCCTTTATGTATACACACATAAAAAAGAATATATAAAAACACACATATATATTTATTTTTTTCTTTTCAGCATTTTTCCCAACTGTCTCGGTTCTAAAAATTTGTACATTTTCTGAAATTTTTTAAGTCATATAATTATATGCTGCTTCTTTCCTCTCTAAAATATTAATTGACATATAATTTACATATTTTGTATTGAATCCATTTAAGTGTACAGTTCAGTAGTTTTAGTTTATGCATAGTTGAGCAACTATCGCCACAATTAATTTGAAATCATTTTCATCATCCCCAAAAGAAATCCTGTAACCTTAAGCAATCACTACTCATTTATCCTTAGCTCCACAAAGGATTAGTAGATAACCACTAATCCACTCTCTTTCTCAATAGGTTTTTCTATTCTAAACATATAACTAAAATCATAGTATGTGATCTTTTGTGACTGACTTCTGCCACTTAGAATAATGTTTTCAGGATTTATCCATGGTGTAGCATGTATTAGTGCTTCATCCTTTTTTATTGTTGATTAATATTCCATCTTAAAGATATTCAACAATTTATTTATCACTAGTATATGGACACTTGTGTTATGAATAATGCTGCTCTGAACATTTGTATACAATATTTTGTATATACATACATATATCTTCATTTTTCTTAGGTACATAACAAGAAATGAGAGTACTGAGTCTTAGTATAACTCTGTCCTTAAGTTTTAGAGGAAATGTCAGATTGTTTTCAAAAGCAGCTGCACTAAAACAATGATAACTATTTGTGTATTGTTGATAATTTTAGGGTTCAGGAGAATTTATAAGCTTACTTTTAAAAAGAGGTAGTATATGGACTGTTTCTTGAAATTCTTGGAGTAGAAAGGAAACAGTGGCTTTCTAGTCTCATTACTCAACCTAAATCCACCTGTCATTTACATTTTACTCATTGTTGGCAGTTGGTACTAATTAAAATGTTGATCAATACAGATGTTTAAAAAAAAACATCTGAGGGTTCTGATTTCTCTGCCATCCTTAACATTTGTTGACTTGTCTTTTTAAATTTTATTTATTTTTTATTATTTTTAATCTTCACCTGAGGATATGCTAACTGATTGTACAGAAAAGGGAAGGGAGAGGGAGAGTGTGAGAGAGAGAGGGAGAGAGAAAGGTGAGAGAGAACATTGATTGGTTTCCTCCCATTTGCAGTCAGATTGAGGATCAAACCCACAACCTAGGTATGTGCTCTGACTGGGAATTGAACCCATAACCCTTCCGTGTATGGGACAATGCTCCAACCAACTGAGCTTCATTGGCCAGGGCGACTTGTCTGTATTTTTGTTTTTTCTAATATATTTATTTATTTATTTTAATCCTCACCTGAGGATATTTTTCCATTGACTTTTAGAGAGAGTGGAAGGGAGAGAGGGAGAGATGAGAGAGAGAGAGAGAAACATTGGTATAAGAGAGACACTTTGATTGCTTGCCTCCTGCATGTGCCCTGACCAGGGCCAGGATTGAACCTGCAACACAGGCACATGCCCTTGACTGGGAATCGAACTTGGGACCCTTAGGTGTGCAGTCTGATGCTCTAACCACTGAGAACACTGGCCAGAGCAGGTCATGTCTATTTAATTACAGTCTTCCTTGTGGATACAAAATGGCTTCTCAATGGATTTTGATTGTATTCCCTGATGTTGAACATCTTTTCATATGTATTGGCCATTGTATGTTTTTTGAATAAATGTGTATATCTTTGGAAAAATGTGTGTTCATTTCTTTTGCATATAATCTGGATACAAGTCTCCTTTTAGCTATATAATTTTAAACTATTTTTTTTCAATTCTCAAGTTTTTTTTTCTTCTGTAATGGTATTATTTCAAGCACAAAAATTTTAACTTTTGATGATACTGAATTTATCAACATTTTGTTGCCTGTGTTTTTTGTGTCATATCAGAGAAACTGTTGACTGAGCCAAGATCATGAAAGTGGACATATATATTTATCTTTAGTAGCATACACAATTTTTCTCCTATATTGCTCTTTCCGTTTATGTTATTTTTATCATGTTACTAGAGGCCTGGTGCACGAAATTCATGCACAGGGCGGGGGTGTGTTTCCCTCAGCCCAGCCTGCACCCTCTCCAATCTGGGACATCCCTCTCACAATCCAGGAATGTTGGCTCCCAACTGCTTGCCTGCCTGCCTGCCTGATTGCCCCTAACCACTCCCCTGCCAGCCTGATCGACACCTAACTGCTCCTATACCGGCCCGATTGCCCCTAACTGCCCTCCCCTGCTGGCCTGGTTGCCCCTAATTGCTCTCCCTTGCAGGCCTGGTTGCCCCTAACTACCCTCCCCTGCAGGCCTGGTACCCCCCCCAAATGCCCTCCCCTGCAGACCTGGTTCCCCCCAACTGCCCTCCCCTGCAGGCCTGGTCACCCCTAACTGCCCTCCCCTGCAGGCCTGGTCACTCCTAACTGCCCTACCCTGCAGGCCTGGGTCCCCCACAACTGCCCTTCCCTGCAGGCCTGGTCCCCCCAACTGCCCTACCCTGCAGGCCTGATTGCCCACAACTGCCTTCCCTTTCAGGCCTGGTCTCTCCCAACTGCCCTCCTCTGCTGGCCTGATCACCCACAACTGCCCTCCCCTGCTGGCCATCTTTTGTCCACATGGGGGCGGCCATGTTGTGTGTTGGAGTGATAGTCAATTTGCATATTACTCTTTTGTTAGTAAAATTGTGTGCCCTGTATCATAGATTAGTAATTTTTATTTGCTTGTCATTTAATCATGTAGGAAATAAAAAGCAGTTACCAAATATGCAGTAATATTGGCTTTTATATTTCCCCACATATTTTCCTTTATTGGAGTCTCTGTTTCTTCATATGGCTTTCAGTTACTGTTTTGCATCCTTTTATTTCAATCGAAATGATTAGCATCTCTCCTAAGACAGATCCAGCTCCATCAGCTTTTGCTTATCTATAAATATCTTAATTACTCTCTAAATTTTGAAAACACTTTTGCTGGGTATAAAATTCAATGTCATCAGTTCTTTTCTTTTATATCATTAAATATGTCGTTCCACTGCCTCCTGCTTCTATGAATTTTTATTATGAATCAGCTATTAATCTCATTAATGTCCCTTGTATATGACAAGTAACTCTCTGTTGTTGCTTTCAAGATTCTCTCTCTGCTTTTAGTTGAATTTCAAAGTTTTATTACAGTGTATCTCAATATGGGTGTCTTTCTGTTGATCTTACTTGGAGTTCATTGAGGTCTTTAGGTTTTTATATGCAAATCTCATATCAAAGTTGGGAAGTGTTTGGTCATTATTTTTTCAAATCTTATTTTTTTTGCTGTTTTCTGTCTCATCTTTTGGGACTCCTATAATGTGTATGTTGATTTTCTTAATGGTGCTCCACTGACCCCATAAGAACTATTCATTTTTCATTCTTCCTTCTTTTTTCTCAGAATCAATAATTTCACAGGTTATATCTCTACTTTACTGATTCTTTCTTCTATCTGATTATATTTGTTGTTGAACCCTCTGGTGTATTGTTCACATTTTGTTATTTTACATTTTAACAACAAAATTTGATTCTATTTTTTTAAATTCTTTATTCTTTAAAGTATTACATAAGTCTCCTTTCCCCCCAATTGACCTCTCCCCAGCCACTCCCACTCTCAAGCACATGCCCTCACTCCCCTACTGTCTGTGTCTGTGGCTTATGCTTATATGCATCTATACAAGTCCTTTGGTTGATCTCTTACTCTCCCTTCCCCCAGCCTACCCACTTAGGTTTGACGGTCTGTTCGATGCTTCTGTGTCTCCGGCTCTATTTTGTTCATCAGTTTATGTTGTTCATTATAGTGCACAAATGAGTGAGATCTTGTGATATTTATCTTTCTCTGACTGGCTTATTTTGCTTAGCATAATGCTCTTCAGTTCCATCCATGCTGTTGCAAATGGTAAGAATTCCTTCTTTTTTACAGTAGCATAGTATTCTATTGTGTAGATTTACCACTGTTTTCTAATCCACTCATCTGCAGACGGGCACTTATGCTGATTCCAAATCTTAGCTATTGTAAATTGTGCTGCTATGAACATAGGGGTGCATATGTCCTTTCTGTGGGTGTTGCTGTTTTCTTGGGATATATTCCTAGAAGTGGGATCACGGGGTCAAATGGGAGTTCCATTTTTAATTTTTTGAGGAAACTCCATACTGTTTTCCACAAAGGCTGCACCAGTCTGCATTCCCACCAGCATTGCATGAGGGTTCCTTTTTCTCTGCATCCTCGCCAGCACTTATTGTTTGTTGACTTGCTGATGATAGTCATTCTGACAGGTGTGAGATGGTACCTCATTGTTGTTTTGATTTTCATCTCTCAGATGATTAATGACTTTGAATATATTTTCATATGTCTCTTGGCCTTCTGTATGTCCTCTTTCGAAAAGTGTCTATTTAGGTCTATGCCCATTTTTTTTATTGGATTATTTATCTTCCTTTTGTTAAGTTGTATGAGTTCCCTATAAATTTTGGAGTTTAAACCTTTATCTGATATAGCATTGGCAAATATGTTCTCCTTTGCAGTGGGCTTTCTTGTTTTGTTGATGGTTTCTTTTGCTGTGCAGAAGCTTTTTATTTTGATGTATCCCCATTTGTTTATTTTCTGCTTAGTTTCCATTGTCCTAGAGCTGTAATGATAAAGATCTTGCTATGACATATGTCTGTTATTTTGCTGCCTATGGCTTCTAAGATTTCTATGGTTTCCCATCTTATATTTAAGCCCCATGTCCATTTTGAGTTTGTTTTTGTGTATGGTGTAATTTGGTGTCTAATTTCTTTTTTTTTTTTGCATGTGTCTGTCCAATTTTCCCAACACTATTTATTGAAGAGACTATCTTGATTCCACTGTATGCTCTTGCCTCCTTTGTCAAATATTAATTGAGCATAATGGCTTGGATCTATTTCTGGGTTCTCTGTTCTGTTCCATTGGTCTATATGTCTGTTCTTGTGCCAGTACCAGGCAATTTTGAGAACCATGGCTTTATAATATAGCTTGATATCTGGTATTGTGATCCCTCCAACTTTGTCTTTCTTTCTCAGGATTGCTGTGGCTATTCGGGGTCTTTTTTTATTCCAGATAAATTTTTGGAGAGTTTGTTCTAGGTCTGTGAAATATGCCATTGGTATTTTAGTGGGGATTGCATTGAATCCATAGATTGCTTTGGGTAGTATGGACATTTTAATGATGTTGATTCTTCCAATCCATGAACACGGAATGTTCTGCCATTTATGTCTTCCTCTATCTCTTTTTTCAGCATCCTGTATTTTTTTGAGTACAGGTCTTTTACCTCCTTGGTTAAATTTATTCCTCTGTATCTTAATTTTTTTGTTGCAATGGTAAATGGAATGTTTTTTTAGTTTCTCTTTCTGTGAGTGCATTATTGGTGTATAAAAGAGCCATAGATTTCTGGGTGTTAATTTTGTATCCTGCTACATTGCCAAACTCATTTATTAAATCTAGTATTTTGATCGAGTCTTTAGGGTTTTCTATGTACAGTGTCATACAATATCATATCATCTGTGAATAATGACAGTTTTACTTCTTTTCCAATTTTAATGCCTTTTATTTCTTCTTCTTGTCTGGTAGCTTTGGCTAGCACTTCCAGTACTGTGTTGAACTGGATTAGTGAGAGTGGGCATCCCTGTCTTGTTCCTGTTCTTAGGATGGTTTTATTTTTAGCCCATTAGGTATGATGTTGGCTGTAGGTTTGTCATATATGGCTTTTATTATGTTGAGGTACGATCCCTTTATTCCCACTTTGCTGAGAGTTATCAGGAAAGGATGTTGGATTTTGTCAAATGTTTTTTGTGCATCAATTGATATGACTATGTGATTTTTGTCTCTCAATTTGTTTATGTGATGCATCATGTTTATTGATTTGTGGATATTGTACCATCCTTGCATCCCGGAATAAATCCCACTTGGTCATGGTGTATGATCTTTCTAATGTAATGCAGGATCTGATTTGCTAGAATTGTATTGAGGATTTTAGCATCTATGTTCATCAAGGATATTGGCCTGTAGGTCTCTTTCTTTGTGGTGTCTTTATCTGGTTTTGGAATTAGGGTGATGCTGGCTTCATTGAAAGAGCTTGGAAGTGTGCCTTCCTCTTGAATTTCTTGGAGTAGTCTGAGGAGGATAGGTTTTAGTTCTTTGAATGCTTGGTAGAGCTCACCTGTAAAGTCATCCGGACCAGGGCTTTTGTTTGCTCGAAGTTTTTTTGATAATTGTTTCAATTTCATCAGTAGTTATAAGCTTAGTCTGTATTTTTTTTATTCTTCTTGATTGAGTTTTGGAAGCTTGTATTTTTTTAGGAATATTTCCATTTCATCTAGGTTGTCCAGTTTGCTGGAGCAGAGTTGTTCGTGGTATTTTTTTTTATTTTTTATAATCCTTTGTCTTTCTGTGGGGTTGGTTATTTCACCTCTTTCATTTCTGATTTTGTTTATTTGGGTCCTCTCTCTTTGTTTCATGGTGAGCCTGGCTAGAGGTTCATCAATCTTGTTTATCCTTTCAAAGAACCAGCTCTAAGTTTCATTGATCTTTTGTATTTTTTTTTGGTCTCCATGTTGTTTATTTCCTTTCTGGTCTTTATTATTTCCTTCCTTCTGCTCACCCTGAGCTTTTCTTATTGTTCTCTTTCTGGTTCTTTAAGTTGTACAGTTAGATAATTTATTATCATTTTTTCTTGTTTTTTGAGGTAGGCCTGTAGAACTATAAACTTTCCTCTCAGGACTGCTTTCAGTGTGTCCTATAGATTTTGGATTGGTGTGTTTTCATTATCATTTTTTTTCCATGATGCTTTTAATTTCTTCTTTGATCTCTTTGGTAACCCAATCATTGTTTAATAGCATGCTATTTAGCCTCCAAGTGTTTGATTTTTTTCATTGTTTTTATTGTAGTTGATTTCTAATTTTATGCCATTGTGATCTGAGAAGATGCTTGATATGATTTCTATCTTCTTGAATTTGAAGAGACTTTGCCTGTGTCCTAATATGTGGTCTGTCTTTGAAAATGTCCTGTGTGCACTTGAGAAAAATATGTATTCTGAGCTTTGGGGTAGATTCTTTTTTTAAAAAAAACCCCACAACTTTATTGTTGAAAGTATTACATATGTCTTCCTTTTTCCCCATTGACCTCTGCCAGTGTTTTTTGGTTTTTTTTTAAGATTACTGTAGCTCTGGCTGCATTGCTCAGTTGGCTGAAGCATCATCCAGTAAACTAAAAAGGATTTGGGTTTAATTTCATTCAGGGCACATACCTACGTTGTGGGTTCCATCCTGGTTGGGGTGCGTACAGGAGGCAACTGATATCTCTCGCTTTCTCTCTCTCTCTCTCTCTCTCTCTCTCTCTCTCCCTCTCTCTCCCTCTCTCCCCCTCTCTCCCTCTCTCCCTCTCTCCCTCTCTCCCTCTCTCCCTCTCTCCCTCTCTCTCCCCATCTCTCCCTCTCTAACCTCCTTCCTCTTTCTTTTTCCCTATCTGCCCCTCCCTCCCCCTCTCTCTAAAAAAATCAATAAATGTGTTCTCAGATGAGGATTAAAAAAAATTTATTCTAGCTACTGTAGGGTGAATCTATGAGCATTGGGAGCTTGGCTAGGGTAGATTTCTAAAGCCTGGCGTTCACTTTAGAAATAATGATTGTATGTTGTTTGTGTGGGCATACTGTATTATTAGATATAAAATTCATTTAATACTTTGTGAAAATAATTAAAATTAAATTTATAATATATTTTTGAGAAAATTATCTTTGAAAAGATATCATTAGATTTCAAATAGTTTCAAAATGGAAGAAGATTTAAAGCACTATTAGCATGAAAAGGCCAAATTCGAAGAACTATAGGTGAAATTTCACTGCAATCAAGAGAACTCAGCATGATCTCAGTCTCAAATATTATAAATTATTTTGGTATCCTTGTTTGCAGTACTGTCTTTTCTTCTCTGAGTGCATTTATGTGTGTGCAGTTAACATAGAGTAAATAATGAAATATCTGCCATTTTTCTTAGTTAATATTTAAGTAAATGAGTTCATTTTTTGTTCATGTAATTAAATTTTTTATTGTATGATAATTTCTTTATTTTAATTTTAATAAGTAAATTCCTACATAGAATTTCAAGTTTATTTGTTTCAAATCATTAACTTTCATACAAGGAAGCCAGGATACTTTTTCAGTTTCTGAAAAAAGTGTCTGTGACTACTATAAACATAATTGCTTCTACTAAATTTCTTAAAGTGAAAACAAACAAACAAAAAAACATCTAAAACACTACTTATTTTCACTGTCATTTTGTAAACTAATTAGTTAACTGTGCCAGACATTTTATTTCTTCTTATTTGATATTATATTAGACTTTTATATGTGTTCTAATTTCAGGCCTTTGAAGACAATTTAATGGAAGCAAGGAAAGAAATTGAAGTTTCACAGAGTAAATACAATGCTCTCTCATTACAGCTGACTAATAAACAGACTGAACTTATCCAGAAGGATATGGATATTACCCTGGTCAGGCAAGTATATTCAGTTTTTAATTTAACATTATAGAAATGTCATTAGTTATTCAGAATGGTAGCATTTCTGTTTATTGCTAATACCACAAAATTACAAAAATATGTCTTCTGTGGGTACATATGTTTGTGCATTGAAACTATCTGAAATTATATACACCAAACTGGGAATATTTGTCTGGGGAGAATGAGCGGTTTCATAGGATTGGCAAAAGCATGCTCCAAGCGTGGCCTTGTTTCAGTTTTTAAATAAAAAAAAAATACATTTATTTATTTTCTTTAAAAATTCCTAGCCATATATAATATAATTATTGTTACAATGAAAAATAATGATAAACCCAATTTTTTATTTTTATTACATTCTAAATAGTTTTATTTTGTGAAATATTAATTCTGTATCAAAATAGTTAATTTTATAGTACTAACCATAAAGTAGGATTACTTGAATAACTTGTGTTTTTAAGCATTTTGAAAGATTTTAAACTACCTATTAATTTAATTCATAATTACCTTTATCAGAAAATATTGTTAAAGTATAAACATATAAATATATATATACACATATACACATATGTCATGTATATACACATGTATGTATGTGTACATTTTTACTTAATTAAAATAAAATCATACAAAGTTTATCATATCTCTGGTGCTACCACTATATATAGTATGTATATAACACACTTATATACTTATATAATTATAATATAACTAGAGGCCCGGTGCACAAAAATTTGTGCACTCGGGGAGGAGAGGGGGTCCCTCAGCCCATCCTGTGCCCTCTCGCAGTCTGGGACCCCTCAGGAGATAATGACCTGCTGGCTTAGGCCTGCTCCCGGGTGGCAGAGGGCAGGCCCAATCCCTAGGTGCAGCCCCTGATCGGGCTCAGAGCAGGGCCGATTGGGGAGTTGGGGCACTGCCCCCTGTCATGCACAGAGCAGGGCGGATCGGGAGGTTGAGATGCCACCCCTAGTCATGCTCAGGGTACAGCCGATTGGGGGGTTGGGGCACCGCCCCCTGTCACACTCAAGGCAGGGTCGATAGGGAAGTTGCGGCGTCACCCCCTGTCACGCACAGAGCAGGGCCGATCAGGGGGTTGAGGAGCTCCCCCCTGTCACTCACAGTGCAGGGCCGATCAGGGGGTTGAGGAGCTCCCCCCTGTCATGCACAGAGCAGGGCCGATCAGGGGGTTGAGGAGCTCCCCCCTGTCACAGAGCAGGGCCGATCAGGGGGTTGAGGAGCCCCCCCTGTCACGCACAGAGCAGGGCGGATCAGAGGGTTGAGGAGCTCCCCCCTGTCACTAACAGAGTAGGGCCAATAGGGGAGTTGGGTCACCGCCCCCTGTCACACACAGAGCAGGGCGGATCAAGGGGTTGAGGAGCTCCCCCCTGTCACGCACAGAGCAGGGCCCATCAGGGGGTTGAGGAGCTCCCCCCTGTCACTTACAGAGTAGGGCTGATAGGGGGTTGGGGCGCTGCCCCCTGTCATGCACAGAGCAGGGCCCATCAGGGGGGTTGGGGCGCCGCCACTGTCACACTCAGGGCAGGGCCAATGGGGAGGTTATGGCTCTACCCTGTCACACACAGAGCAGGGCCGATCAGGGGGTTGGGGTGCCGCACCCTGTCACACACAGAGCCGCAGGGTGATCAGGGGGTTGGGGAGCTCCCCCCTATCAGGCACAGAGCAGGGCTGATCAGGGGGTTGGGGCACCTTCCCCTGTCAGGAACAGAGCAGGGCGGATAGGGAGGTTGTGGCCCTGCCCCCTGTCACACACAGAGCCGCAGGGTGATCAGCGGGTACGGGCGCTGCCCCCTGTCACGCTGATCCCGGTGCCGGGAGGCATGTTACCCTTTTACTATATAGAATAGAGGCCTGGTACACGGGTGGGGGCTGGCTGGTTTGCCCTGAAGGGTGTCCTGGATCAGTGTGGGGGTCCCCACTGGGGTGCCTGGCCAGTCTGGGTGAGGGGCTGAGGGCCGTTTTCAGGCTGGCGGGTGACTGAAGCTCCCAACCGCTCCTTTTTTCCTTTTTTTTTTTTTTATTCTGTGCCAGCTTTAGCTCTGAGGCCTCGCTGCTGAAAGCAACTTTCTGGCCTTTGTTTACCTTCTGTTTGATACAATGTTGCGGTCCGGCTGGCTGAAGCCTGGCTAACGCAGGTTTCTGGGGTTTTGTTTAGCTTCTATATTTGCAACATAGTTGCTTAGAGTTGCAGCTGAGAGGCCGGCAAGTCAGGCGGGGAACGTTGGAGTCCGCCGTCACTGGAGCAAGCAAGCCTCCCTGTTCGCTTCAGTGCCTTGCTGCCGGCTGCCATCTTGGTTGGCAGTTAATTTGCATATCTCAGTGATTAGCCAATGGGAAGGGTAGCAGCCGTACGGCTAATTACCATGTTTCTCTTTTATTAGATAGGATATATAATCTTTCATATGTAATTACTATACACACATATATTTTTATATATAAGACTAATATGCAAAGTGTTTCCCCTGGGAGTTTGACTGGGAGACCGGGAGTTCTATCACTTGCTATGACATGCACTGACCACCAGGGGGTGGCATGGAATGAAGGAAGGCTCCAGCTGGCAGACGGAAGGCCCTGATCATCCCTGATCGCCAGCCAGGCCTAGGGACTCTACCCAGGCTCGAATTTTGTGCACCAGGCCTCTAGTTTATATATAATTAGCATATTGCAAGATTTGTAAATATGAAGGCAGGATTTTTGCTTGAGTAATAGGTAATGTATATACATTAATCTTTTATACATGGAAATATACATTTTGTCACATTTTTAATCTTCATAGGAAAAGTATAAACTTTATAAATGATACTTTGGTTGACTTATTCACTCATGGTGTAATTATTTTTTAAGTCATAGAACATTAAAAATAAATTGTAGAAACATTGTTTGATAAGTGGATTTAGCACACTTGGTAGATACAAGTTAGTGTAGAAAATCCTATTGTACTTTTTTTGTCACCAAAAAGTTAGGAAATGGACTTAAAAATAATATAATTTACAATGACTAAAAATATGAAAAATATAATGAAAAATGTATATTACCTTTATACAGAGAACTATAAAACATTGAAAGAAATGAAAGGTCTAATGTGTGCAAGGGTTGTACGAAGTTCATGGTTTGGAAGACTTAATATGATAAAGATATCAATTCTCTTCAAATATTGAGATGCACATTTTCAACAACAGGAAATCATTACTATCTGTAGACCAGAAGGGAGAAGGAGACAAGCTTGTTATCAAGTCTCTGTGAGAAGCCTAGCCCTTGGGCAGAGATTGACCAATAGGAGAATAATCCTTAGAGGAACAGGGGCTATGACAACTGTGGCTCAGCTAAAAGGGAGCTAGGGAGTGGGATCACTGGGTCAAATATTAATTGAGCATATTGGTTCGGGTCGATTTCTGGGTTCTCTATTTTATTCCATTGATCTATATGTCTGTTCTTGTGCCAGTACCGGGCAGTTTTGAGAACAGTGGCTTTGTAATACAGCTTGATATTTGTTATTGAGATCCCACCTACTTTGTTCTTCTTTCTCAGGATCGCTGTGGCTATTCGGGGTCTTTTTTTATTCCAGACGAATTTTTGGAGATTTCGTTCTAGGTCTGTGAAATATGCCGTAGGTATTTTAATGGGGAGTGCGTTGAATTTATAGATTGCTTTGACCCAGTGATCCCACTTCTAGGAATATATCCCAAGAAACCAGAAACACCAATCAGAAAGGATATATGCACTCCTATGTTAGTAGCAGCACAATTTACCAAAGCTAAGATTTGGAAACAGCCTAAGTGCGCATCAACAGATGAGTGGATTAGAAAACAGTGGTACATCTACACAATGGAATACTATGCTGTTGTAAAAAAGAAGGAATTCTTACCATTTGCAACAGCATGGATGGAACTGAAGAGCATTATGCTAAGTGAAATAAGCCAGTCAATGAAAGAAAAATACCACATGATCTCACTCATTTATGGATAATAAAGACCATTATAAACTGATGAACAAAAATATATACAGAGGCAGATCAGCATCGAACAGACTGTCAAACTACAGCGGGAAGGCCAGGGAGGGTTGGGGGGTGTGGGTAAGAGATCAACCGAAGTACTGGTATGCATGCATATAAGCATAACCAATGGACACAAGACACTGGGGTTACGGGAGGCCGGGGGATGGTCAAGGGGGGGAAAAAAAGGAGACATATATAATACTCTTTGTAATACTTTAAGCAATAAAACAAAATTAAAAAAAAATAAAAGGGAGCTAGGGAAATACTTTGACCTTTTGTTCCTTTACCCTCTTATCACAGGCTAGCACTTCTAACTAATCAAAAGTTAGACCCAGAGGACAAGGGGCCAGTGTAGAGGTTGACCTCTTAGGCCAGAGTAGGCTAGAGTACCAGAGAGTAGGACAGAAATGATAACAATTGGATATGAAAATATGTGGCACATGCCTTAGATGGTGTGGCTCAGTTGGTTGGGCATTGTCCTGTTCACTGAAAAGTTGCTGTTTCAGTTCCAGGTCAGGGCACATGCCTGGGTTGTAGGCTTGATACCCAGTAGGGGGCATGCAGGAGGCAGCTGATCAATGTTACATCAAGATTTATCTCTTCTCCTTTCCCCTCTCTCTAAAAATAAAAAATATATATATATGGGAAAAAAAGAGTATTTGACATATTCTCCACTACTGCTCTTTTTCAGAGTTTTCCTGGGCACTTATTGTTTATTAATTATGATTAATGCTTATTAATTAATTATTTATTGTATAAACTTTGGAGTAAACTTGCTTATTTTTTGTTTGTTATTTTATTGCAGCATCAAATTTACAAATAAACCTAAGGAGAATTGACATCTTATGTCAGTCTTCATGTCTTATAGTATAGTAAGCCATTCCATTTGTTTCAGTACCTTGGTGTCCTTACAAAATGTTTTATGTTGTTTCTCATATGGGTTTTGACATTTCATGTTAAAATTCATTCCTAGCAATTTTATGTT